GAAGTAGGTTGCTTTGACTGTCGCTATTCCTCAAGCTCTCTCCAGTCATCTACTGGAACAAATATATGCGATCAACCTCTAAAGATACTGGAAAATGGCCAGTTACTTGTACAGCCACAGAGAGTAACTGTTTTCTTTTTCAACTCTATCCTCCTTATCCTGATAAACTTAACCTCTTATTCCCCCATTTTTGGTCCATACCATACTCCTCATTCAGGTACGCTCTACCATGAGTGGCGCTTGAGCCTTGTATTTTTTTATTCTGCAAACTTTTTCAACACGAAAAATTAGCTATAATAACATTTATAGACCAAAAAACATTTTGGATGAGAGATCGGAAATTATGATCCATTGTATACATGCTAAACATTTCCTTTTAAGTTCCTACGAAGTGGGATGAAAAGGATGTATGTATATTTCATTTAATCACCCAGTACATTCGACTTCCCCCTCCTCCTCTTTCTCCTCTTTCTCCTCACTTTCTGCCATAATCCGCGTCGTGCGCTGATTCATATTTTTTTTAAATATAGCCTTCATAAATTTAATAAAAAATAAATCGTTAGAGAATAAATTGATCAAAATCACCTGAAGATACCAATAGGTTCAAACCCAGGTAACGGAAATGACTGATCTCTTAATTTTCTATACAAAAAAGCTGTACATGTTAATTTTTATCTTTTTATGTGTTAACGGATTTACCATGCCCATACTGTAAAATATTTTCATTAAAATTATAAACATACGCTGGTAACATCCATCAGTTTTTCATTGAACTGGCATATCAACCACAACTTATTTCTCGATTATCGGCTAACGTCTGTTTTAATGAAAACCGGAATAATAGAATAATAGAAAGGAAGTCGGAAGAAATAAATTGCTTGAAACATTAAAATGAACATTATTTTCGTCTTTTATAATTCTCTGTATGAAGAAAAATATACAGAAAAAACAAACAAAAATCTTAATATGCAATTATACTGTGTTAATGTTAATATAAAGTCAACGTCGGACGTTTCGGTCTATTATGGACCATCATCAGGACATACTCATTAAACATAATTAACGTTAGAACATATAAAATTCAACATGAAAAGATGATGGACATAAGAGCACAACTAATCCAAACAGATAACTGAAATTTTTATATAAGATCAGCGTTCCGTTTAAATATGATCACGTCGTCGTCACGTGGGCGATGTTGTGAAAACGTATTCGAAGATGATTTCAAAATATTAAAATATTAAAAAAAATCGCTTGAACTATTTTATATAAACAGTTCAAGAAATCCCTTCCGTTGATATAGGAATACGCAGAGATCAATAGGTTCTTATATCTTCATACAAGCTTGAAGTCCTCCACGTTACAAAGCAAATCAAAAATGATTTCAAAATATTAGAAAGGCACGATGGAACAATTTTAAACAGTTCGTTAATAAATCGTTTCCTTACTTACAGGAATAGGCGGAGATAAATAGATTCTTATATTTTCGTACAAGCTTGAAGTCTTCCATGTAAATTCAGGTTTGTATTTCCAGTAGACAGTATGTAAGCAAATATATGGATATAGATCCGACAGTATGAAGAAAAATATACAGAAAAAACAAACAAAAATCTTAATATGCAATTATGCTGTATTAATGTTAATATAAAGTCAACGTCGGACGTTTCGGTCTATTTTAGACCATCATCATGACATACTCATTAAACATAATTAACATTAGAACATATAAAATTCAACATGAAAAGACGATGGACATAAGAGCACAACTAATCCAAACAGATAACTGAATAACAATTCTCTGTATCTCATCAATATTATTTAAGCTTCATTGATAATTATACTTCATTAATGTAATGAAAGGTTTGAGAAAAAAAAGTAACAGAACTGTTGTTAAGTTAACGGAGGAGACGTATGCAAAGCAAAACCGCTTGACACAGATTGACCTTGAATTCTGCGGCCATACACGTTATGTTACAAAATGCTCACTGACTGTTATATAACGGCAAGTTCTGTCTACCAATTTTTTACGTTTTCAAACTTATAAAGTCGATTTATGGAATCGGTAAATTTACCATAGATTATAATTATTTTTACTTTATATTATCTACCCTAGGGTACTTTCGAAAGTTGCTACATACGGTTTCAATGATTGTGGTGTGTTACTTAAGCATACACAAAGCGGGATCCTTGAAAACAAATGTGCAATATTCAAAAGTACTCGGAGAAAAATAATAATAATAGTAATAATATAAAAGTAAAAAAAAACTGACCTTTGGTAAATTTACTGATTACATAAAACAACTTAAGAAAAAAACTAAACATAAATTTAAAAATTTTGAAAAATCTAGTAACATTTTTACATTTGTTCCTAAATCAGTGAATTATGTGTCATGCATGATACACGCTTGAACGACCATCTATCTTCGATACATGACCGACGAGGCTGATTTTCCCGCAGTAGGTTGCCATTTCTTTCTGCGATAGACCAGTTGCCATCCAAGACTATAGAACCTGGTCTGTCCTATTATTTACCTACAGCTGGGGGGGGGATAAGAAAAAGATTCATAACGTTCCCTAGGGTATTAGCACGTAAGTGAATGTAATGGATTCGACTGGAATTCGAACTCGGCTCTCCGTTTTCTCAATCCGAGCCGCTATCCACTACACCAATATGTTGAAAATGAAATCCTTATGGAACAATCATGAATCACAATCTGATAGAATAATACGATAAAGAACAAATAGGAAAATTTTATCAATCTATCATGTTTCATTTTTATTAAAGCTTCAGAGATTAGATATGGAGAAACAAACTTTAAGAAATTCTGTAATCGTTACTTTCGTCTTGTCTGAATTTCCTAAATCAGTTATGTATCACATACGCGTGACTCTAATATATATATATATATATATATATATATATATATATATATATATATATATATATATATATATATATATATATATATATATATATAACCGAACGTTCCTTCGTGGCCAAATCGTAAAGGCACGTCAAGCTAAATGACGCTTCCGTATAGGGCAACAGTTTCGAATCCTGTAGGAGGACGAATATTTTCTGTGAAAATTTCTCGGACATTCACGCCGGTAAATGTTGTTTAATACTGTTTATTATAAAACAGAGAATTTACTTAAATATTTGTATCTATAAAAAGAACGTATGAACATAAAAAATGTCTTAAAATAATTGTCGGACTTTGTCCATTTCATAATGTGTGACGTCATTTGTTTACATTTGGATACGCCATGAGCACTTGAATGTACGTGAGAGATTCATGGAAGATTGAAGTTTAAATACAGTTTAAATGACCTTGCTAACCGAACGCTCCTCTGTGGCCAAATCGGTAAAAGCACGTCAAGCTAAATGACGGTTCCGTATAGGATACAGGTTCGAATCCCGTCGGAGGACGAATATTTTCTGTGAAAATTTCTCGGACATTCAAGCCGGTAAATGGTGCTTATTACAAACAGAGCATTTACTTAAATATTTGTATCTATAAAAAGATTGTTAAACATAAAAATGTCTTAATATATATAAAACGAACAAGTTATGCTTTTTTTCAAACCCATCAATTTTTTTTCAGTGAAAAAAAATATATATATATATATATATATATATATATATATATATATATATATATATATATATATATATATATATATATATATTACAGGTTATAATTCATCTATTGGAGATTAAAATGGCTACATATGATGGCCATCACTATTCTAGTGAAACATCAATTATTCCAACACAAAGAAAATGCCGGCAGCATTTTAATGTCCGAGTATGTCCAGATGATAATATTATTCGGAACCTAATCATCTGGTTTGAAAGAACCGGATCAATCGTGCACACTGACTCAGCGGTGGAAGCTCTACGGACGAGTGATCTTCATCATCTTCTACCCGTCGTCGCTCGGCTCAACTGGGCAATAGATTCTGAAACCGGATTTAAAAAAAATTCCCATAAAAGATACAAGTGGATCAAACTTTACTACCCAAAGATACTCAGCAGCGGTTGCAGTACGCCATTCGATTTCAATACCTAGACAGAGTTAGCAACTTTGTGGACAACATGGTAATGGGTGACGAGGTCCATTTTCATTTAAATGGGTTCATCAACAAACAAAACTGCAGATGTGAGGATACTAAGAACCCCAACAACCCCCAAGATGCTCTGTTTGGTGTGTTGCAATGGTTGAAAATTTCTATTTCTTTGAAAATGAGGAAGGTCAACCAGAAAGAATTAACAGGGCCCTGTATTGCACAATGCTTGAACATTTACGCCCAGCGGCCGAAATATAATGAGGAGGTATGGTTCCAACGGGATGGAACTACGGTACACACTTTCAAGGCGACAATGGTCATCCTGCGAGAAATCTTTAGTGAACGATTACTTTCAAAAACATTTTTTTTTTTGGTCTGCATTCACCTGATTTGACGGCGCTGGGCTTTTTTGTGGTGCTACTTGAAAGAACGGGTCTACGTAAATGAACCTCGAACAATTTAAGAACATAAGATGAACATTTGAGCCGAAATACGAGATTTAGGACCTGAAACCTTGCGTACGGCCATGGAAAATACTGTGGAAATAGCCTGTATTTGCGAGCAAACATTTGATGGACATGGATATTGTTTTTTACACATAATACGAAAAAATATCCATTAATTATATTTCGAAATAAAATAATAAAAATAAAAATACATTTGTTACTTATATATATATATATATATATATATATATATATATATATATATATATATATATATGATGTTATGATGTAAATAAACACCACGATGAGGACAGGAATATTATCGCGTTTTTTTTAAGGGTAATTAAGAAAGGGTGGAAATAAAAATTTAGTTGTTGTCACGTGTCCAAATTGGTTGATTGACCCGATTAAGAAGAGGATTAATAAAATGTGTAATCATGTGTTAATTAATTAAAATATTCAGATTTAATTAGTAATTAGCTATTATAAATATGGTGTCAGGAACGTCAAGTAATTGGTGAAAGAAAGAAAGAAAGAAAGAAAAAGAAAAGAAAGAAAAAAGAAAGAAAGAAAGAAAGAAAGATTGGAAAAGAAAAAAGAAAAGGGAAAAGTAATTGGGAGGGAGAAATTGGGAGGGAGAAAGGAATAGGAGGATAAAAGAAAGAAAGAAAGAAAGAAAGAAAGAAAGAAAGAAAGAAAGAAAGAATAAGTTAAAGCAAGAAGGGAAAAGAACGGAATGAATCTGCAAAGAAAGAAAGAAAGAAAGAAAGAAAGAAAGAAACGATTAATAAATTGAGGCTAAGAAAATGTATGAAAAATGACGGAAATAGAAAAGAATTAAATAAAATTAACATTAAAAATGCGGCTAGGTTTGAGAAATCGGAGAGACGAGTTCGAATTCCAGCCGAGTTCATTACACTCACTTACGTGCTAATAACCTTGAGAAAGATAAGACTTGTAGGAATATTGTTATCATTATTATTATAAATAAATAAAATATATAATAATAAAGAAAATTTTAATTAAAATAAAACAATAACATGAAATAAGTTTCTATAAAAAAATTCAATAAAATAATACTTTTAGCGTGCAACAAAACTTTTCCTGTCGGAAATCAGAAAATCTCGCCAAAATCTCTTCACCACGAACCTTGTTAGAGGCAACATGTGCCTAAACTCACTCTGTCATATGGCTTGTAATAAAACGGAGTAAATTCTCTCTTTTCTCACATGTACGAATAAACAATTTTAACGTAAAATATACGCACAAAAATATAAATGTATGAAATTAACATACAATTTGCCAGGCTTTTCTTGTTATTTCTGTACGTTTTATTTCCTGTAAAATATTCTTTTATCTCGGCTAACACAAGCCTAATTTCTGCTGTTATGATGTGAGTGAGACCCCATAAATTCCAACTCTTCTCCTCTAGCTAAGAATCAATAGTTAGAGAGACTGGGTTCTATAGCTTTCGGTGGCAAACGATCTAAGGAGAAGGAAAACCCTGAATGTTGTTAAAAGAATAATCGTTCGTATTGATTAATTTAATATTAAAAAAAATATTATAAAGAAACAAAGAAAATAAACACGGAAGAAAGAACGAGACATGTTAAGGGAAAAAAATGAAATGACATCGTTAATGCTAAAAAAGAAATAACTTAAAAGATAACAAAAGCCAAAAAGATGAAAGAAGCCAAAATATAGAGAGAAAAGGTATAAGGATCAAGAAAGAAGAGTAATGGCGTAACAAAAGTTGTTAGCGCGTTGGAAGAGAGAATAAAACCTGAAAGATATTAAGAATAAGAAAGAATGGCAAAATGTAGTTTAAGAAAAAGAACGAACCACATGAAGCAAAAATAGAAAGAACTCCAAGAAGAATTAAGTCATGATGGCAAAAAGATTGCCACCTTCCGAAGTCAAACAAGAATAAATAAATTTAAGCAAAAAAATATGAAAGCAAGTAAACTGTGTCGGAGGGAAATGAAGGAGACACGACAAACGAATGAAAGTAGGGGGTTATCCGATTGGGAGTTGATTAATTTAGTGCTTGTCCCCGGTTTTAATTGGCTGAAAATTAAAAAGAAATATGTTCAATTATCAGCTGTTGGTGAGTGATTAATTACTAATTACGAATTGTTTACCATAGTTCATCAGGTTTTGTAGGCTATATGAAATTGAAACACAATTTCTCGTATAATCACTGAAGTTAAGCAACGCCGGACCAGTTCACTACCAGAGAGGCGACAACTTGCGAATACCAAAGTTTGGATGTGTGGATTGTGTAATGGATAAAGGCTGGGATTTTGAATAGCACTTAGGTTCGTTATATTCACTCAAGCTTAAATACATTTGGAAAAAGTATGCATATACCTCTTTTTCTCCAACAGTGGGTTAATTAGTACGACTTGTAACAATAAATTCCTGTTATCCCCCACCTCACAGAGTTACTATCTAAAAATATCTTCTGGCTTAAAATGAATTTTAACACCTTCAAAACGAAACTGCTCCTTTTTAATCACCTGAGAGAGCCCTCTTTATCTTCCATCAGCATGGCTGATGCTAACCACCATGAGAGTAACCCATTGGCCCTTCTTGGGCTAACGCTTTCGGCTGACATGGAGTAGAAAGATTATATTGAATCAATTGCTAGGTCTACTGCTAGTTGGTTCACTGTGTCGGGTGAGACAATTTTTTCGCGCCAGAATCTAGCTTATACATTTATAAGTCTACCATTCGTCCATGCAGTGAATACTACTGCCATATCTTGTTTGTTGCTTCTACTATGTAATTAGAAATTCTTTGTAAAATACAAAGAAATATCTGCAATGTTATTAGTCCTGACCAGACATCTCGGCTTCAATCACTTTCTCATGCTGTAACGTAGCTTTTCTTTGCCTTTTTTATAAATATATTCCTGGTAATTGTTCTGATGAAATTTCCTCTACAATACATAGACTTTATGAATTTAAGCGCCGTTCTCGATTGGCTTCAGGGTATCACCATTTAACAGGTGAAAGGGATATATTTAACCATATTTTGTATGCTAAAATTTATTCGCTCACACATCTCGTGTGTGGAATTCTGTTTGGGCTCCTTGCTTCCCAGTCAACTTTGATTTACGAAAATTTAAATACATGTCAATGCTTATCATCTGTTATCTATGATTTATTTATTCTTCATTCATCTCAAAAATGGCTTCTTTTCCCATATTAGCCCATACTCATTAAACTTTTGCGTCTTACTATTTTTATTGTCTTGCTTGATGTGAAATGATTAGAAAAAGCGCCAAGAAATAAACTGTAAAAAATGAGTCAATCAAATTTTTTATTCCAAGATGCGAAGTTTTGATTGAAACTGATCCATAAATTTTAAGGAGAATTTGGTTCAGGCATATAGTAACCATTAAAACGAGATTCATATTTTTCCGAAGATATTTTCATCGCCTATCTCTAGGATACACACTGGTAACATTCATGAACGTCTATATAGAAAAACAAATTTCAGTATGTAATATAATGCTAGAAATTTGTATTCATGGTCCCTTTCAATAGGAAACAGCTTACACCGCAGAAGCAAAACAGGCCTCTCTCTTTTGTCTGTTTGTCTTTCAATTTTTTAACCCGAGCTTGTGTTGCAAAACACCGGGTCCAAGTTTCGAAAAATTGTAGTTAATCCGAGCGACTTAAACAATCTTATCAGCGACGCCATATTGTTTTATTCTGCTGTATTGTCCTACGACACGGATCTGTAGTCAATTTAGGATTTGTATCTTAGTTTGCCATACACTTTATATCATTTTTACTTATCATATGCAAATAGGTAAACTACTATTTACCAATGCAGCACAAAATTATTTTATTTTGCATTTTATTCTTTTACTTTCTGCTTTTTTTTCACATTTCCAGCAGAGCTTTCTGTAACTGTTTCATTTCCGTTTGTAATCTGAGTATAAAATGTCTTTGTCGATGTTTGTCCAAAAACTAAATTCAATGTCAATCACTATCTACTGCCCTCCTGATTACTATTTTCTCTTCCTGCTCATTATTAATGTTTCTGCTCCTAATTCTTCCACATCCAGTAAAACTTTATGCGTTAGTGGCTTTACTGCCTTGCTTGTGAGGAAATCGATTATATATATATATATATATATATATATATATAAAGAAATATATATATATGGAATAAAGTGCTCAATATCAGAGATAGAGCGTGTGTAAATATAAAAGTGAACATAGAAGTCAGCACTTAGAGGCGACAGTCTGTTTCATGCTATATGCAATCGTCAGGCCTGACGATTGCATATGTTAACTTTATATTTATATATATATATATATATATATATATATATATATATATATATATATACCATTTCCTCTTGTCTCAATAGTAAATCCAGCATTGCAGACAAAGTTAACCTGCGATTTTGTCGGGAAAACGACCTCCAATCTGTGGTTGACTTGGATAGGAAATGGTTTGTAAACTTTATTCCCTCCAAAACGAAACTGCTCTCATTTACCCACCACAGATAAACTTCCCTGCCTCCTATCAACATGGCTGATACTCAACTTCACGAAAGCGTTTCTCTGCACCTTCTCGGTCACACGTTTTCCACTGACCTGTGGTGGAACAACTTCATTGAATCAATAGCTACATCTGCCGCAATGAGTGTTCGTTCTCTGTATCGCCCCAGAAGGTTTTTCTCGTCTGAGTCCATCCTTCAAATCTACTAACCTACAATTCGTCCTTGAATTAAATAATGCTGCCATATATGGTCTGGTGGCCCCGCTGTTTGCTTCGAGGTTCTCGACAAAATCCAAAAACATATATGCAATGTTATAGGTCCTGACCTGGCATCTCGAATGCAGTCACTTTCTCAAAGACGACATGTGGACTCCCCTTGAATTTTCTACAAATATTTTCATGGCAACAGCTCTGACGAGCTATTTTCACTGCTGTCCAAACTGTATAAATTTAAGCGTGCTACTAGTTTGGTATCTCGGTCTGACCCTTTTACTGTCGAAGCAGCTAAATGTAACCGCCTCTTCTACTCCAAGAACTTCAAGCAGCTGGCTCCACGTATAGCTTACGTCTGAAAAAAATATTAAGGCAGGACATTAAACAATGAAATCGTGTTCCACATAAAAGCAAAAAAAAAAAAAAAAGAAGCAAACTATTCCAGAACTTATACTGATTTCTAGGGAAATATGAGATTTCGTCTTGGCAAGAGATCTTTTATCCACAATTTTCGAAATTAACGCTATCACCATCTGATCTAGTTCGACACTTTATTTGGTATTGTTGAAATTTTTAATTATTAACAATTATCTTTGTTTCTCTGGTGTTTAAAGTATCCCATGAGTATCCTATCTTTCCAAGCCCTCTTTCCTCAGCATGAACCTTAGACATTTCAATGTTTCTATCTGTTAACTAACAGTATCATTTTTTTACATTTATGTGAACTCATTTGCAAATATGATTAATCATTGTCTATACTTCTGAGATAAGGTATTATGATCACTTGAATTATTTACTTTATTCGGACAATTATCCTCATCTTGATTGCCATATTCGAAAGGTTTCGGCTGTTGTACGCTGCGGCCTTCTTTATAGATAGGATTAAAAAATATGTATCAATATTGTGATTTTCTTTCATCTTTTAACGATAATGTTATTAAGGTTATCAGACAATAAATAGACAAAACTTGTCTATATTATTTAATGATATATATATATATATATATATATATATATATATATATATATATATATATATATATATATATATATATATATCGAGTTCTCTCAGTCACTGTGTTTATCGAAAAATAAATATACTTAAATTCGCATTCATCCCTGCCGTGCGCCAACAACTTAGTGGTAGAATCCCTCGATTGAAGCCAATTCAGTTGGGTTTCGATCCTAGCTAGAGGCAACTGGATGTCTAGCCACCCTGATAAGCTGTGATACAGCGAAACAGTCTGCCTATAGGTGACAATATATATATATATATATATATATATATATATATATATATATATATATAAAAAAGAAGAGGGGTGCCGCAAACGTTTTTGGTTGTAATGTGGATTTATTGAGAAAAAAATATTATACTTTGTTTTACATAATTTCACGACACGTGTTTCTGGTCTGGTCTCGCAACCGTCTTCAGGTGAAAGTGGAGATTTTTACATATTATTAAAATAATTAATTTTTCTTCATGTTCAATGTGGAATATTCTCGATATGAGACATTCTGTTTGTGTGTTGGCAATCCGAATTTTCTTTCTAGAATTGTCAATGAAGAGTTCTGGGTGAAGGGTCATAAAACAATTAAGGTTTGTCCAGCGAGTAGTTATCGGCATTTAATCTTTTAATGTTTTAGTGACCTCTATGTGCTCTTGGATCTGTTTCTATTTTGGCGTGTTCCTGTCAGCATGCGTGTATATATGCGTGCGTATATTTCCTTACTACGAGGAATTCGTAAACTTATTTGTACTTATACACGCATACACACACATACGCACATACACACTATCCACCACAAGTAGTCAGTACACACACACATATACACACATATTTCCCAAGCTACATGGAACCAGTACACACACATACACACACACACATACATACACACACACACACACACACACACGTACTTCTTAAGTTGTCAACATCCGCATATACATACATAAATGTATGTATGTGTACATACACATATATATATCTCCTCGTGTCTCCCGTATATGAGTGTGCGTCCATGTATGTGAGTGATCATTGTATTTGG